TTGTTTAATATTGCATCTAAAAAAAGTCTACAAAATAGCCAACAAATTTGACAGTTATCAAGAAAGACTAAACACAGGCAGAGGACCAAGGGAAATGTGCAATGTAATTTCAGCCAAGTCACTTGCTCTCTCGGGAAGGGAAGTTCAATAATTCACATTTCAGGAGGCCATCAAATTATTTTTGCAGTAACAAAGGAACTGCTTCAGGAAACATTAGACAAACGTCTAGCAGGGTGAGCTACAGAGCCAAGGAACACTCTCTGACAGGAAGCAAGAATAAGGAGCCCAAGGAAAACCTGACTGAAGACAGACAGATTGCAGGTGAGGCAGTGTCAGCACTCAGAAAATGGGCTGCTGCTTTTATTTGTAGAGGTGGCACAGCAGTGGCAGAAGGGCATGTCTATTAGGAATCAAAGGGCTGCTTAAACCTCAGCCATGGCCCAACACAACAAAGTCATTTTCCCAGCTCTCAGAACCAACCACACAAGGCATGAGCAATGCACAAGGTTCACTGTACTTTCATATTTACAAGGAAATGAGACCCATCATTCAACTACAGCTGAAGTTTAAACACCAAAGGAGCTTAGTCTGACCATGAGTAGAACTGCAAACCAGAAGAAAATAATGGATTTGTACTTCATTTTACTCATGCATAAGTATTCCAACCCTTAAATGTCTTTATAAACTCCTCCCTACTTTTTCTCCTTCCATTTCTGCAGGGAAACTGAAGTTACAAACACAGATCCACCAGAATTTGCCCTCTGTGCAGGTCTCTGTGGTGAGAGCTGAAGGGTCAGCTCTTCCATGGGGATCTGTGGCACCTCCACTGTTTTCTACGAGCTGTGCTGCCAACAACTGATTCATTGATTAATCTGCTCCCTGCTGGAATATTGCAGGACACGAGTCACGGCTGTCACCACCACTCCCCATTGAGACCCAGCCCCTCCTCCTGGCAAGTGCCTCTCTGAAAATCTCCCTTCAACCATTTATCACGACACAGGAACCTAAAGACTGTGGGACACCTGGTGAACGTGCCACGCTTTGCAATGCAAAGCTCCCTGTCCAGGTAACTCACCTTACACCAGCCACACCAGGACACAGGACGTGGTTGTCCCACTTACCCAAAATATTCTCGTGCCGCAGCAACACAGTGTTGTACAGCTCAGTTTCCCTGAACCAGGACTTTTCATCCCTAGAAGAGAAGATCTTCACAGCAACGTTTTCTCCTTGCCACTGACCCCTCCAGACTTCTCCATAACGGCCCTTTCCTGATGGGGGAGAAAACACAGGAGGAGTTGTCAGCTAAGAGCCTTCATTGGGGAGAAGGGCAGGGTGAGCTGAAAGGATGGAAACTCAACTGTCATGGCCTAAATATCACCCTGGTGTGGTCTCATCATGCACTTCTTACCACTGGAGTCACACTGTGCTCCACCATCCCTTCTCTTTTCCTGTTGTTTGGACTGCAAGCCCTCTAGGGTGGATCTCTCCTCCCTGCACACCAGTGCAGTACAGAGGGGTGAACTGGGAGTGTCACCATTCAACCACCAGCAATGAACCTGCTTTTGCAGCTGAAGCGACTTTGGCAGCACATGGCAAGGTCAGTGTGCACAACACAAATAAAGCTGTGAATTCTGCAGTTAGAAGGACAGGAAGGATGTGTAATGCTGGGGATACAACCCTTACATTTCTGTTACATCAGCAGCCCTTGCAGAAACAGTCAACACAAAACACAAAATAATGATTTAGAAACAAACAAAACCCCAAACCCACCAACAAACAAACAAAAAAAGGATTAAAAAAACACAACCCCCCTGTTCTGTGGAGATCAGGACACACTGAACACCAAGCTTTTTACCCAAATAGCTTAGAAGAAATGTATGACATTTGCAGCACCCAAGTGCAAAGCCCCATCCTGGACAAGGCATGCTGGAACAGTTCTGGCTGTTGCCATTTCCATCACAGCCCAAGTACAACAGCCTCAGGCATGAGGCCATGAACTGTGCCAGATCTGGCAACTCCAAACACCCAAACTGTGCCTTTCGTTGCCCTGCCATCCTGTGTCCTTCAGAGACACCTGGGAGCCAGCAGCAGGTTCCCCAGAGACACCCAACGCTGAGGCCTCGCTGCTGTCACCCCAGGGACACCGCCTGCCCAAGTGCCTTCATCTGCTCCTGCCCTACAGGGCAACACACAGGGTCCCTGGGAATGGTGCCAGCCCGAGCTAACCTGGGAGCAGGCACCCCTGCAGGGACACAGGGACTCACACGTACACACACACAGAAATGTCTCTGTCCCAGGCAGAATCACCATGTGTGTCACATCCCACAGCTCCTGATGCATCAGAGGGTCTACACCTGGATTTCAGGCGAGTGTGAACATTTGTGCCTACTCAGTGTATACTGAGCCAAAAGCACAGACACACTGGTAAAATGTAGGCCTGGTCCCTGCAGATTCAGAGGCTCCTCTGTTATAGCTGGGCTTCATTTAACACCCTGAGGAGTTAAACCTTCTCAGGAAGGTGTTAAACCGCCCTGAGTTCAAATCACTGAAGCAGCAGCACAGAACATACTCCAGTCCTTTCTTCCTTCTTTCTCATGCCTTCCTCACCTCTTTAGTGCCAGCACAGCATCTTGGCTCAATGTCACTGCCTCCGGGTATCTTTGACCCAAATGCTTCCTAAAATTACTAAACTCAAATTTAACACTATTCAATTAATAATAAATATATGCTGAAGTGAAATTTAATGAATCCCTAAAATTAACACTAAAGTCATATAAAAAACTAAAGACCCAGAAGACTCTTAGGGAAGAATTACTAGAGAGATTTCCTTTCAGGGGGAAGAGCAGCAGCAGCAGCACATCACTGCCTCCAGGGTTCCAAAGAACAGTGCTCAGCAAGTCAACTACAACACAGTCATGTTCCCATTCCAACCACCCAAAATCACAGGTTTCCATTTGAAATACCATGTTTGCCACTTGGCTTGACACTCCAACTCCAGATCTCAAACCCAGGTGACCTTTTTGGAATTCTAAGGCTTTGGAGTTGAACACCGTTAATGACCAAACGGTGTTCACAGTGTCAAACTTCAAACTGAGCTTGCTTTTCTAAAAACAGTTTATTTAGCTTACACAGTACCCAAACTGGCCTGGTTTGTATTTTCTAGCATTGCCTTACTTAACAAAGCTTAAATTGTCCCATCACAAAGCACAGATATTTGCCCCTTTCTTCTGCAGAGATCTGGAAGGAACTTTTTCACTTGACTTTCTAAAACCAAGCATGTTCCATCAGCTGAAGCCTGAGAAGTTGCACATCCTATCAAAATGACTGAGGAGAAAGATGAGGATGGGAGATAGAGCTTTCTGTCTGCATTTGTTAGCAGATATGAACAAGACTGGCACTGACCTACACACTCCACAAGCGTGATCTGTCGAGCCACCGTTCTTTGCACCAAGAAAGGAAGTCCAGAACCACTTCCAGATGTGCAGGAATGGTCCAACAAATCCTGTTCAAAAGGAAAAGCAGAAGTTTACAAGCCATGAGAACCCCATTTTTCCCTGCTTACACACACAGAGGCACACCCTGCATGGGGCAGGTAGAGGTTATAGCTCAGGATATCTCAGTGGCTCTGGGGATCCATTTGGTCACTCAGGGACAAGGAGCATTTGTTTAATAAGTCATTTCATATAATAAATAAATGACAGTAGATGCCTGTGAACTGGAAGCTTGCTCCTGGCCTACCAGCTATCCTCTGTCATGAGATGCCATCCTTTTCCAGCACTTTGTTGTTCTCTTGCTTACCTTACGGTCTCTCAGTTCTGTATCTGATATCTCTTTCAAACAGGTTAATATCAGCCTTTTTGCCCCAAAGTTTCCTATGTCTGGCAATAATCTGAGCACCTCGAAAAGAAATAATTTTTCTTTGATTTCTGTACTTAAAGCTTTCACCCCTATGCAGTTTGCAGGCCCCCAGGAAGCACACTCCAGGGCTGGAGCAGGTGAGCATCCCAAACCTGAGCCCTTCTGGGAGGGCTGGACCAGCAGGTGGGTGTACTTTGCTGTCAAACAGGTCACCTGCCCAGCTAAGACTGGCAGAGACATCCTCGACCCCGTGGGAACAGGTGCCAGCTGCAGGAGCCCAGCACCCTCAGCAGGCAGCGAGGGGCAGAGGAACACCGGGTTAGACAGCAGGTCTGGGACACCAGAAGCTTCTCAAGCGGCCCAGAACAGAGCCCTGAGAAACAGCCACATCCCACCTGCACCACAGGGGTTTTCCTGGTAAACGTCAGGTCCCTGCCCCAAATCACAGCTTCTTGACAAGACAACACCCAACGAATTCCCTGCAAGGCTCCTTCCCTGCAGGGGCTGACCCACTGGATGGACAGCCCCTCAAAAGAAGCCATTCTGTGGCAGGTGAAGTCACTTGTGCCGAACTATTCAGGCTTGATGCACGTATTTAGAACTGAAAACAGTTTTCAGCAAGGTGAGAGGGGATTCACCTGCATCCCCTATAAAAGATTGGTCATTGATACTGCAGAAAATCCTCTGTAACAAATCTTTCCCAAACGTTTTATCAGTTTCTGGTATTCTCGGTGCACAGAAAGCAGACTTTGAACTGTAAGCTTATAACAAACACGAGCGAGATCCTAATTGAATGTTAAAATCCCATTAGCCTTGTAAAATGCTAATGCCCAGCTACTTTTATGGCCAGGAGTTCTGTACTAGTTCAAAGCATTAACAACTATTGCAGGACTTTTTTTCATTTACAAAGGAAAATAGGATAAAAAAGACTAAGTACAATCAACTCTCTAGTATTTCCAGCAAACTGCACTGCTGGGCTTGAACCAGATCCATGAAATCTCATTTCTTCTAACAGCATCTTAAGGAGGGCTCAAGAAAAAGATAATCCAGGAATGACAGAGACTGCTATCTTGCTTTTTAACACAAACTGAGAGCTCATTTTCCTTCCTGCTTGCATCAGAGGCCAAAAAAAAAAAAATGAACTCCAAAACCAAAAAACCAACTCCACATTTATCTACAGAGACTGTAAAAACAAGATTTGAAGAGGCCACAGCTCTTTCCATGCCCATTAAGCAGCTTAGGGCTTTAAGCACTTGCTACACTGTGGAGACTAATCCTGAATGTAAACTCATCTACTGTGTGACAAAAGCAGTGATCTGAAACACAATGGAGAAGAAAAATCTGAAATCTAAAAAAGACTTATTGTTTAGATGAGCATTTAGACACGGGAACTACCAGTGACTGTTTGTGCATCACCCACACTGGGAGGCAAAACCAGTGCTCAAGGGGTCTGACAGCTCCATCAGACCAAGCCCTCACAGCTCCCAACTCCTCCCAGGCCTTCGAGACAGAATTCTGATTTATTCTTCACAGGTTTTATCACTGTTTGCAAATAAGATTAAAAAACTCGAAGTGCAAAAGCTTTGCAAATGTCTGGAAATGGTCTTGCACTACCAATAACAGCTGGTAAAAGCTGGAAGTCAGTGTTTAGGGACAAATAACCAGTTGCACACGTCTGGTTCATGGTGAATATATCCAGTCTGGCTGTTTTAAACCAGTAACACAGCCCAATCCTTGTGGGCTAATTAAAGAGAGCCAAAGGCATTTAAAAAAAAATAAAGATTAACAGGTATTAGCCACTCTGCAACCCTGCAGTGAAAGCACATTATGGCAAGACAGCACCAAAATGGAAAACCTTTTCCAGCCTCTTAATGTTGAGGAGATTTTATCCCTGCAATGCAAGGAGGAGAAAACTCCCAGCACTGGTTTCAGAAACAAACCCTCCAGCTCCCTGAAGCCTTCCTTGCTCTGCTCCATAGAGCTCAGGACAGCTGGTGGGGACACTTGTGCTCAGGCCTCAGGTGGAAGGGAAAGGCACAGTCAGCCTTCAGAAAGGGAATATTCCCCAAGTCATTATATTTTCCAGACACCACATGAACAAGAATATACTTTGAAAGCAGAGCTTTGAGTAAGCACTGCACATTTCTTAAAACTCCCACTGCTCTTCTGTCAACAAAGTGCCACTGATCTCCCAGTCATCCCAGAGCCCTGCTACCAAGATCACAGCAGTCAGGTCTGAAGGTTTTAAACATCAAAATTATCTCTATTTTCTCCTTCCCCTACCACCACATCTTTTCCAGCCCTTTGGGCTGTCGGATATCAAAGGTGCACATCACTTGAGGCCACCCAACAGGCACACTCTGTTTTGCTGTTCAGACACTGTTTCCAGGAACATGAACAGCTCAGAGTGATTCTTCAGCTCAAAAATGCTACACTTGTCAAAGCTGCCTTTTGGTTACCCTTCATTCCAACTGCACTTTTGGGAGCACAGGAACATCACACACGAGTCCTGAGGCCAAGTGGCATCCCCTGGCAGCAAAAGGTCCTGTTGGTGATGTGGCCACGGGGAGGGATGAGAAGGGAGTTTGGAAGTGAGGAAAGCTCCCCCCTGCACGCAGGTCACTTACTGCCAACGTGCTGTCCCCCACGTTCGAGGCGATGAGACCCTCGATGGTGCCATACTCTGCATCCCTAGAATTGAGCCTCTCCATGTGGTTTTTCTGTATTCTCCGGATGATCAGCACTGCTACTGCAGAAAAAACTATCAACACTATCACAGGAGCCAGGATAACGATGATTAGTGTCTCCATACTGTAGCCTGCAGCTTCTCCTTGAAAGGTTTGCCCTTGGAAAAGAGAGGGGAAGGGAAAAAGAAGGGAAAAAAGAGAGAGAGGAAGGAAAATAAGTTTGCAGATTCCCAAAGGAAGTCTTTAAATCCAGCAGCACTGACTGACCCTTACCTGGGGAGCCAGCTGGTGTGACAGAGGCCATGCCACAGCCAGAGAAGCGAGCACACTGCACACAGGATGTGCTCCTGCAGAGCTGTCAGCACAACCCCCACCTGCACAGGGCCATTTCTCACAGGCAGTACCCCCACCCTGCCCCAGTCACGCACTGTAACCCCAGCACTCCCCTGCCCACACAGTCCATCTGACCATCACACGTGTGCCAGCAGGCTCCAGGGTGGTCAGCGGGCCTTGCCATGCCCATTAAACCCTTCCTTCATCCAGCACTGGAGCCAGCTCGCTCCCACCACAGCTGACCAAAGCCAAACCCTTTTCTTCCTCAAGTCCCCTGGTGACTGAGGAAGCTCTCACCTTTCGAAGAGGGCAGCTGTGCAGTGATGTTCATGTTGCACAGGTGTCCCTGGCAGCACTCCACAGCCTGGTCGGGGGATGGAGGTGTTTTGCAGGTCATTTTCCCCTGCTCATAGACCTGGAAGCAGCCCTTCTGGTAAACCTTAGCCCCGTCATTGATGCTCAGGGAAGCAAAGCACTGCTGGCCTTGGCACCGGTCCCCGTTCCCACAGGACATGCCTTCACACACACATTCGTAGTGCACCATCTTGAGCTTCAGTTCATCATCTGCAAAAGCGAGAGTTGAGGAATAAACATCATCCTGTTCTTAACAGCTTCAGTTAGAGGCAACGAAACCATCAACAACAAAATCTTCTCTTTAAGGGCAGGGATATTATCTGCAGCTAGAGCTGAGGAACCACCAACTAGGAGCCAACAATACTAATTCAGCCATTTCAGCACCATCAAAGAAACACACTGCTGTCTGCCCACCCCAAGCACTCACAGTCCAGAGTAAAGGGACATTTTACACCCCCTCTCATCCATACACCCCCAGAGGGGCATCTGCACAGGGACACTCAGCAGAGGAGAAAAGCCTAACCAACAGTGCCTGCCCTTTGAAAGGACTGCTCTGGGCTGAGGGCAGAGACACTCTGATGGGACACTCTGCAGTGGATCCACGGTGGCAAAACCATGACAACGTCTTTCAGAGCTCATTTCTCAAAACATCCTTTGGATGAACTACTGCTGCTCTTCTATGGCAGTGGAAATACCTTTCCCCATTCTGCTGAGGCAAACCTTAAACACCCTGCATGTCAGAAAAACCTTCACATTCACACAGCTGTGTAAACCAGTTATGGAAAAGTCACCTTCCAAACCCAAAGCCCTTACTGGAGTAATCATGGAAGAGTCACCAAACAGCAGAGTAAATCTCCAAAGAGCCCTGGCATAGAGGAAGCTTAAAGAACACAAGCAGTAGAGCTGCACCTCAGTCCATGGGCCAAAAGACCTTCTCCTTACCTCGCTCAACAACCAAACTGTTCAGATAAGGCTTCCCATTTCCCTCCCCAGCCCCTGGGAAGACCTATGTCAATGCTACAGGCTGTACATTTTATACAGAAATGGGCAACAACATCCTTTGCAACAACTTGAAATGAAACAGCAAACAGCCTGTTGTGGACAGGAACTGCCCA